GCTGGAGCGGGGTCCTGGTGGAGAGAGGAGCCCAGGCTGGAGCGGGGTCCTGGTGGAGAGAGGAGCCCAGGCTGGAGCAGGTTTGCTGGAAGGACTTGGGAGCCTTTGGGGGCCCAGCTTGGAGCAGGGCTTGGACTCGGGCTCGTCCCCTGAGCAGCAGCAAGAACAAGCTGTGATGACCTGCCTGTGACCCCCATTCCCGTGTCCCTGCGCTGCTGGAGGGGGTGAAGGGAGAGCCCGGGAAGGAGGGCAGGTGTTTGTAGGATTGATTTGACTTCTCATTCTCCTGCTCTGATTTTGTTGTTAATAAATTCAGTTACTGTCCCCCCGGTGAGTCTGTTTTGCCTGTGACAGTGATGGGTGAGGGATCTCTCCTGGTGTTTGTCTCAATTCATGAACCTTTCATTATATTTTCTCTCCTCTGTAGAGGGCAGTGACAGAGCAGCTTTAGTGGGTACCTGGTGTCCAGCCGGGGCCAACCCACCACGGTAGGGAAGGGAAGGGGAGAGGAGAGAGCTCAGGAAGTTCCTGCAAAATTCTGGCACAGTCTATGAGGTGCTAAGCTAGGGAGCACAGCACTTCTGCTCAGAAAATAAACCCTCATTGCAGGCTGAGTGCTGTAGCCTCTTCTATTTGAGTTCCTGAACTCGTCCTGTCTCAGGGCAGTAAACAAAGAAGTTTTCCATTGAAAAGGAGCCAGCCCTGTATTCCTTCACACCAAAAAGTGCTTTTAACTTGGTTTTCCTTCTCACAACTGTTAACAAAATTGAGTATAAACAGTCATTGGGATATGAGCGTGATGATGTTTTTAACTGCTGGCTTAAGTTACAGTTGTATTTAAGAAAAGAAAAAAAGCCTTTTTTCCCCATTAGATAAATTCGGCAAGAAAATTCAATATATTGATGTTAGAAGGCTGAGGAAGGTCAATTTTGTTGCTTCTCACCTTTCCAGCATCCCCCACAGACTCTCTTCTTCCTGGCAGCTTTCCTGTCCTCACACCATTCTTTCACAGCAGCTGCATGGCTGAAGAGCTTCTAGTTCATTACTCCTTCAAGCAGAAGATTAGAAAAAAGCACCATGGATAAGCTTTTGTTACTCTTGCACCTTCAGAGGAGCTTGAATGACTCCTTTTAACACTTTGGAAGGACTCTGCCATGATTAGCAGTGGCTTCTGTTCTCCTGGATGGGAGTCACCACCAGGTAGATGGTGAAAACAGACCTCACCAATTTTGTCTTGCTTTTTCTTACTGTGATTTTATACCATGTGAAGGCCAAGGAAGGGAAGAGTCTGCCTGTAACTGCAGCTTCATCACAGTGGTTTTCTTCAGGCTTCTTACTGCTTATAATTCTTTTTATTAATAAAATGCTGCTTTGCAAACAGATAGTTGCCTAAAATTCCTCTTGGAGATTAAAGTTGGCTGATTGATTTAAAAGCTGGATGAAAATACCTCTCTGCAAACGATTTTAACAGCCTGCATGTGTGCAGGGGTGTGGGAGAATGGCCTTTTGGGAAAGGATTGTTTGAACAGGGACCGTGGTATTTCTGGCTTAGCCCAGCATTTATATATTCAGATGATTCCAATAATTCATCCTGTAGTCTGGTTCCAGACAAGTAACACTCTGTAAAGCAGATTCAGTATCTTCACTAGTGTCCTTTTTTTTATTAAAGGTTTAACAGAAAATTTTCCTCCCTCAAAACTGTACCTGGCTGGAGCCTCTCTTGTCCTACCAAAATGTCTCTTCTTGCCATAGCTCCAATCCTATCGTGGCTGGCAAATGCAGATCTGCTTTAAAATGTGAATGTTAGACCTGCCATAGGTCTGGTCCTTCCCACTCCCCCCCCGGGCTGTTCCCTGCAGGGGCTGTGACAGGTCACAGGCTGTGGGTACAGTCATGGGCTGCAGGTTCCTGCATCACTCTGGGAGGGCTTTTCAGTTCTGGATATGAACCAAGAGACTTGTTTTAGATCAGAAAAGAATTCCTGTTTCTGACCAGCAGCATCTTCTACAAACGAAACTGAGATAAATGGTGGGAAGCAGCAATTTCTCAGCAAAACCAATTTTGTGACTGGCCTGATTTCCCCCAGATTCTACCTGAGAATCCACCTAATTAGATGAGCACAACTCCTGCTGTCACACTCCTCTCCTGCTGCAGAGGAGAGACAAAATTTGAAGTTGCACATCCCTATTGTTGAAGTTCAACTCCCTGCTCTGAGACAGAAAGTGTGTTTTAATGGAACACCCAAGTGTTGATCCAGCTGTTGCATCCTCTGGGAAACACGAGGGAAACGTGGAAAGCCAACATCCATGTGGAATGTGGCAGTGCTTGTGTAGGTACCGGCACATCTCCCGTTGTCCCCCCTGCACCCAGAAAGGAACCAAGGCCTGAATTTCCCTGGTCAGGGCAGCCCTTCAAACTTGCAAGGAGAACTTGGCATCTGTCCCCTCAAAGAGAAGGGGAGGAGAGACTGTGCAGCAGTTCCAGAGGTGTCTTCCAGACCCCCAGGTGAACCCTTAAGGGTTCTCAAACGTTAACATTTCTGTGGGTAACAATAAATAGGCTTGGCTCCAGGCCCAGCCCCAGCTCCACTTCCATCCCCACCTCCATCCCATCCCAGCCCTGTCCCACCCCAACTCCATCCCCCTGTCCATCCACACACCATCCTCAGCCCTATCTCTATCCCCAGACCCATCCCCACCCCCATCCCAGCTCCATCCCTGTCCCAATCCCATCCCATCCCAGCTCCATCTCATCCCCAGCTCCATCCCCATCCC